CATGGCAACTTTAATGTAACATACTGGGTATTTTTTATCTTGGCCCATGACTCTCAATTATATTAGTTTTTTTCCCTTTATATGAAAAATTTTGGGCATCTCTGCTCTAGGATTTTGAGAGGACTTGCATTTGAGGCCTTATTCATTCATTCATTTTCTTGTCGGCTTAGTCCCTTTTTTAATTAGGGGTCGCCACAGCGGAATGAACCACCAACTTATCCAGCATATGCTTCACGCAGCAGATGCTCTTCCAGCTGCAACCCACCTCTGGGAAACATCCATACACACTCATTCAAACTCATACACTACGGACAATTTAGCTCACCCAATGCATCTGTACCGCATGTCTTTGGACTGTGGGGAAAACCGGAGCACCTGGAGGAAACCCACACGAACATGGGGAGAACATGCAAACTATAGCACGTTTTCATGCAGCGGATGCCCTTCCAGCCGCAACCCATCTCTGGGAAAGCATTTGAGGCCTAATTGTTTTATTGTAGCCTAAAATGACTGAATTTGTGACAAATATTCTCAAAACCTTATGTGATCAATTCTTGTGTTCACTTTAAAACTACATAAAAATCTGTAATTTCTTTATATATAAAAAAAGAAACATTAGACTTGAAAGATCCCAAAGGGACTGATTAATGTTATTAAAACCTGTATTAACAAAAAATAAGACATTTAGAAGAATGCTTTAGCTGTTCAAAAAAAAAAAAACAACGAACCTTTACTGACTTTCACAGCAGTAGGACCGCAGAAGAAATCAGTCATGTCTTAAGACAGAAATGATCATTTTGAATATAACTATTCTACATTAGTAAATAATCAGGGCATCTCAAATGCAAATTGGAATCAAAAGGATGAGCATGAACTTCCAGAGGATCCCTGTGGTGTTAAAGAAAACTTTGCGAAAGTTCCAGCCAGAATACCGTGCCATGCGATTGAATCATAAGTAGTTTCTCCCCCCTCAAACACTCATGTTTGCCTTTTCCAAGGGAAGCCATTATGACTTTCACCCACCTACGGCCATCTGCGACTCCATCATTATAAGGCCCCGGCGTCTGGACAATATTCGCGACATGTTTCTGTCATTACAAAGATCTACATCCGATTTACATCATTGGCAAGGTGCTCGGCAAATGATCAGACGCCGGCATCCTCAGCAGTGTCAAAGTCAATAATGAATAAAATGTATAGATGAAAATAACTCGTCCCTAATGGTCCCTCTGTCTCCTGAGTGTTAAAAAATGTAAATTTATGTAAAAGCCCATAGGAAACACATATTTACAATACGTTTAGGTAATCACAAGATGCAGGCATGGAGAAATATCCCAGCCGAGAGAAAGCAGTCAATGCAAAAATAGTTTTTATGTGTCATTAATTCTCTTTGCATTCTCAAATAACCCTATATTACCGCGGTAATACAGTAATCACTCACAATCGCACAGAAAATTATCTGCACTCATCTGTGGAATAAAAGGCGAAGGGGAAAACGAGGGGAAAGCATCCCATTTTAGTATCCTCTTGCGTCCTTAATGTTCAACCAGAAGCCGGCGAGTAAACGACTGCTCGGCCAATCTCGACTCTGCCAGCGATGGAACAGTTTCCGAGCAGCTTAATGATGGCGGGGAGTCGATGGCTCTCGTCCTAAAATGCGCACACCTTTTCATGCTACATTGCCCGGAATAGACGCGAGGTTCATGGACAACCGGGGGAAAATTGAACCTTTTATACGCTAGCAGAAAACAAAACACCTCCGATGCCAAATCTAAACGACACACTCGAAGAGCAGACATTAGTTGTAGAAGTGCTGCAGACACATCAGGCCATGCAGAGGACACTCTTTATCCTTATAATGAATCTGCTACAAACGCTACTGAACACTCATAAGGTGTAATGCCTGCATATGCTGGAGATAAACTCATTCTCAGAGTCTTAAACTGTTTGTCTTCAAGCTGATGCAGATATGTGATGACCATTTAAATTCAATTTCTCACTCATTCAATTTGGGAAACATTTACATTTTCATTTTTTAGTCAATTATATATTTCAGATTATGTCTTTCTTTAAACATAAATAAATTAGATTTTATGTTTTGCAACTAAATATGATTCTATCAGTCTACAAGTGAATATTTTAGAAAATTACAGAAATAATTATAAACCTTACATTGTAAAAATGTCTCTTAATTTAGTGTTTTCCATTTATTTACAGTTGTTAGTTAGTACAGTTGTTAATACAATATATATAATACAATAATACAATACGATATAATTCAATGTTTGATGTTGAAAATTCAACTCTACAGTTTAACACAGTGACTTTTATTGATATTTTAGTGGTTTGAATAATATATAATGTTAAATAGATAATATATTGAGAAATGAACCTGAAAAATAACATGTACCATAATATACAACACCAACCCAGACAATATATTACTTTAAACCATCAAAAAGTCACTTAAGGTTTAAAGGTTTAAAGTTGTAATTAAGGTTTAAAGTTGTCAGAAGCAAGATCAATGTCTCCTAATGTGATTCAAAAGCATAAATAATTGAGGACCTCTAAAAATATGAACATGAAATCACAAAACACTGGAAAACTGTTAATTTACGTGTACCATAAAAACGGACTTCAATAAAATTAAAAACATTTAATATTTAACTGAATAGTTAAATTGTGATTGCTCGAAATTTGTTTATAAACAACATAAATATGTCTGAAAAGTGTTCAATTATAATAAACTAGTTTTACTGGCCTAAAAGTTTACTTTCAGACAAAAAAAAGGGTTCATTATGCAGGTTTTTCTAAAATAGGCAATCATATTTTTGATAATAAAATTGTACCTAAAAAGTGTGTTAAATATGAGAGAAATATGTATTTGTTTCATTACTGTTGCACAATTGACATTAAAACATAACTAATTTAACAGAAGGTGCTCCTAGGCCCGGATTAAGAATTCAGAGGCCCCTGGGAACAATGTCTTGTAGGCCCCCTACCTAGCCGCAACCCTATAGTTGAATTAAAAAATAAGATGAATATAATATGTTTTAAATAAAATTAATCTATAATGTATTGCCCGCATTTTTAAAATAAATGAAATATAGTACATATATTACAAGTCTACAAAGATTTAACTTATTTTTAAAGCGTTTAAACTAGCATACTTTGAAAAAAAGTACTAATAAAACTAGTGAAAATTAATTGATTTTAATACACTTGTTCAAGTTCACAGAAGTACTACAAAAAATTAATATTTAAGGGTATTTTTTATGTATTACTTCTACAAACTTATAATGCATCTGATTTGGATACAGGGTAACACCTTTCCAATCCAGTTCTATGAATCTGAGTCTTCTATAATACACAGACTTATTAATGATTCCTCTTTGTCTTCCTCGTGGTGAAGAGTAGGCAAAATCTGATATGTAATGGATAAAAAGAGGAAAAACATGTTCATCGGACACTGGATTCGAACCGGGTTCATGATTGATTGCATCAAAACATGTTGCAATCCAAGCTACGCCCCTCACACCACTGTTGCCTGCGCTATTTAGTTATTTTGTCTCTGTCAATCAAACGGTGATGGGTGGAAATCACTCAACTAGCTTATTTTAACGAGGTGCGGTATATGCACATAGCCTAAATAGACACTCCAAAATATGCATTTTTTTTTCACCCCTTCGCAGGGGCCCCAAGGCCTGTGCCCATAATGCCCATAGGTTAATCCGGCCCTGGGTGCTCCATACATACAAGTGACACTGAAATCAATCAATCTACCTTTAAAAGATCTCAAATGAATTAGAAAATAAAACAAAACATATCAAAATATAATAAGTGATGTGTATTTTGAGGGTCATCTGCCATTTGCAAAGTTGAACTTTTTTACTAAAACATTTTTGTTTCTTTAGATTTTTATATTTCTTCTGGGTAAAATGGTCTTTATGGGTCATTATAGGGTTATGGGTATAAACAAATGAATACAATTTCATTATACTAATTATCTTCTTAATTATTTGTGAAAAGACACTTTTCTTTTTTGTTTGTTTCCATTTTACACACAAGTTAACTACTGAACAAACTACTTTGTAAATTGTAAAATTTAAATACTTTTATGCTTCTGCATAAAAGAAGACATGGTATGTTGGTCTATACCAGGGATCACCAAACTTTTTCCTGGAGGTTAGGTGTCCTGCAGATTTTAGCTCCAACCCTAATCAAACACACCTGAACAAGCTAATCAAGGTCTTACTAGGTATACTTGAAACATTCAGGCAGGTGTGTTGAAGCAAGTTGGAGCTTAAACCTAGAGGAACGAGATTGGTGACCCCTGGTCTATACCATGAATCCTGCAGACTGTTTAAAATGTGCCTACGTTTAACCTCGAATAGTCAGCTGTATAACAGTGCGTCGACGCCCCCTACTGGCCAAACATGTTAAATACAATGAACAGTGTTCTGTTTTCATTGCTTTCTGCTGAACTTCTGAATCATATCATGTGCATTTACTTGGTTTCAAAGCAAACCTTTCAATGCTGTCACACTACAGTCAAGAAAACACATCTTCAACTGTACACTGGGTAGGTTCTAATTCCTTCTCAATATTCCTTTTTTTAGTTTTTTATTTAAATATTAAAATTAAAATTTTATTTAAATATGATGAAACTATGATAATGCGTTTGTGAAAACATAATACAAAAGTAATGACTTTATTCAACAGTTTCTTTTCTTCTGTGTCAGTTTTTTTTTTTCGTATTTTTCAGACTTTGAACAAGTTGGGTGCATTGCTATAGTTGATGGAAGAGCTTTCAGATTTAATCTAAAACACCTTAATTTGTGTTCTGAGGACGAACGAAGGTCTGAGGGGTTTGAAACAACATGAGGATGAGTATCAATAACAACATTTTTACTTTTGTGTGAACTAACCCTTTCATTGACATTACAAATCCCCATACCTCAAGCATATGGGTTTTGGATTGCCAAAGTACACAAGTAAGATTTTTTGCATCATATCTAAGTTTAATATATAACTGATAATAACTTACAATTAACAAAATGATCACATCATTTGCTATTTTTTCTTCATTAAAGAAGTAAAACGTTTGAAAGTTCCATGTCTGGTCACTAGGGGGCAGCAAAAAACAACAACGGAGCTCATCTTAAAATTGCTCTAATTCATTCTTTGTAATTTACACATATAAATTGGTCCAAAGTTGGCACACAGGTGTGGTAAAACCAGTTCCCCGACACTTAACTGTGGCGCAAAGTGGAAAGTGTCAGAAAAGCGCTGAGTGAACCACCTGAGGTCCTGAACCTGCACTGTAATCCCCAACTCTTCCTGAGCGACACTGATAGCCTGTTGCACCACACACTCATTCTGCAGCTGGGACAGGGAACACGTAGAGTAGACTATCAGCCCTCCTTGCCGCGCAGCCTGGATGCCAGCCCTGAACAGAGTAAGAAATTTCAGGTTATTCTCAGTAAGTCCTGAAGAATGCAGCATGTATTTGTTTTGATACAATATATATATATATATATATATATATATATATATATATATATATATATATATATATATATATATATATATATATATATATATATATATAAATATATATATATATGTGTGTGTGTGTGTGTGTGTGTGTGTTTGTGTGTGTGTGTGTGTGTGTGTGTGTATTATATATATTTATTATGTATAAGTGATACACATACATAGAAACAAAACTAAATAATATTTCATAATAATTTTAATAATCTTTTACATGGCATCACAGGGGCGCAGTGAGTGGGACGATCGCCTCACAGCAAGAAGGTTGCTGGTTTGAGCCTCAGCTAAGTCAGTTGGCATTGGATAAGCTAAATTGCCTGTAATATATGTGTGTGAATGAGTAGGTATGGATGATTCCCATTGATGGGTTTCAGCTGGAAAGACATCCGCAGCGTAAAACAAATGCTGGATAAGTTAGCGGTTCATTCCATTGTGGTAACCCCAGATTAATAAAGGGACTAAGCCGAAAAGAAAATGTATAATTAAATGAATAAAGGAATTAATATCTTTTCATAGGTATTTAAATGTTACATAAAATTAGTATCATATACATATATATTTTAACTATGAATAAACATTTTCTCTAATATATGCATGCCTATGTGTATTTATATACATAATAAATATACACAGTACACACACTTAAATTGTGTCAAAACAACCTTTTTTGGATGAGTTTAATAATGATCAATTTTTGCCCAGCACTTCTAAAAAGTCAAGTTAGCCAGGAATATACGTTCACCAACCACTTTATTACTATTACCACCTGTTTGACTGATCATTAAGGCAAATATCTAATCAGCCAATCACATGACAGCAGCTCAATTAATGCAAGCATGTTTAAAAAACCTGCTGAAGTTCAGAGCCAGTCTGGATTCCAGTCCATTTTTTTAATGTCTTCATTTACCAACTTTCTTCCATCTCATTTCCTTGGATGCATGTCATTGATTACATTACATAATTGTCCAATACTGTCAAAACATCTGAATAGGTTTAAATAGAATGCCCTAAACCCTAGAGCACTTGGGAACTACACAGTTGTGACATCACATTCTGGGACATGTACACTCACCGGACACTTTTTTAGATATGCCTAATTAGTACCGTTTTGCCTTCAGAACTACCTTAAGCCTTTATGGCATAGATTTAACAAGGTACTGGAAATATTCCTCAAAAAATGTTGGTCCACATTTACGAGATAGCATCACGCAGTTCCTGTAGATTTATCGGCTGCACATCCATGGTGGGAATCTCCCAGTACACCACATCACAACAGTGCTCTATTGGTTTGAGATCTGGTGACTATGGAGGACATTGTAATACAGTGAGCTAATTGTCATGTTCAAGAAACCAGTCTGAGAAGATTCATGCTTTACAACATGGGACGTAATCCTGCTGGAAGTACACCACCACCAGCAGCCTGAACCATTGATACAAGGCAGGATGGATCCATGTTTTCATGTTGTTGATGCCAAATTCTTACACTTGCATCTGAATGTCGCAGCAGAAATCGAGACTCGTCCAACCAGGCAACATTTTTCCAATCTTCTATTGTCCAATTTTGATGAGCCTGAGCAAATTGTAGCCTCAGTTTCCTGTTCTTACCTGGCAATAGTGCCACCCGGTGTGGTCTTCTGCTGCTGTAGCCCATCTGCCTCAAGGTTTGACATGTTGTTCAGAAATGCTTTTCTGCATACCTTGGTTGTAACAAGCGGTTATTTGAGTTACTGTTGCCTTTCTATCAGCTGGAACCAGTCTGGTCATTCACCTCTGGCATCAACAAGGCATTTGCCCCCAAAAAACTGCCACTCACTGGATATTTTCTCTTTTTCAGACCATTGTCTGTCGACACTAGAAATGGTTGTGCGTGAAACTCCCAGTAGATCAGCAGTTTCTGAAATACTCAGACCAGCCTGTCTGGCACCAACAACCATGCCACATTCAAAGTCACTTAAATCACCTTTCTTTCCCATTCTGATGCTCAGTTTAAACTGTAGCAGATCTTTTTGACCATGTCTACATTTCTAGATGAATTGAGTTGCTGCCATGTGATTGGCAGATTAAAAATTTGCATTAACATGCAGTTGGACAGGTGTACCCAATAAAGTGGCCAGTGAGTGTAGGTGCTGAAGTGGACATATGAAGCCAACTCACTCCGTGGGTCAAATTTGATGGATTGAGTGTATGTCTATATAAGCTTCCCTTGTTCACTAAAGGTTCTAAAAGTCGAGTGGAACGCAGCCCTAGCAACAGAATAGGAGTAGAAATGTGATGTGACTAAATTTTTACACAGTTGCTGGTCCAAAATGGATACGTCTGAGGAGCACTTTATATCTATACCCACACCTAATAAAATGTCTGGTGTGTGTATATATATGAAATCAATTATTGTCTTTCAATGTATTTTTTCCACACATTTGAAGATCAACTTACACAAGAAGCTGGATTTGCAAGAGTGGAAGCTTCTGTCTCTCTTTGGTCCTGGACCTCTTAAATATATTGTTCTCCTCCACGACTGCAGAGTGTCTGTCTGTTGTGCAGGGAACATCGACCAGCACCTGTGTGAAGATAAAACATGAACTAAAGGTAATGGAACAATTCTCACGGTTTACAATAATAGCATTAGTGCTGTAAAAATATACTGGGCAGAAGTAGTTTTTTAAAACATCAGCAAAATTATTTGATTTATTATATTCATTTTTAACTCTTATTAATTATGTATTATCATCAATAAATGAACTCACAATATGTTAGTTGTAAACCACAACTTTCACAATGCAACTATTTTCCTACTACTAATTTGTATTATTTATACATAATCTATTGCTAAAATATTTTTAAAAATCCTACAACTTATTAATTTTAAAACGGTAAAGGTCACATTCTGAATCTCCATTTTTGTTACTTTTTGCCGTCATAAATTTACTTTTAACTTAAATGCAAAAGACACACTTCAAACTCATTTGAGTATTTCAGATGTTGTAAAATCATAACCTCATCACATGCAGAGAGAAAACTACACTTAATTTTATTAAAATGCACATAAAAGGCTCATAGAGGACTGTGAAGATGTTGAACTGGAACTTGGTCATTGCTGTGTCCATTTCCTGGTTGTTTTTTGCTTTACCCATTAGTGTATTTTTTAATTTCCAATATTAATTTCCATTGATTAAGACATTTTGCTAATTATTGTTGTATGAGCACTACCGCTTTTGCTAAGTTCACATCAATAACAAAAGCACCCAACTGTCATGTGCTTTTGGATTTTACCCTTTATACTATTATTAATGAAAATATCATATTTTTAAAGTTCTATATACCAATTTCAAAGCCTGGTTCTTTACTGAACCGTATCAAAAAGGCTTTATTTAGCACCAAATATGGTTCAGCTATTGTTACAAACTGAATAACCCTAAATAGGAACTGTTTAAAAAAGTTTTCTAAAAGGGTAGAGCACAGGTCTGCATGGTTTATTTTCAGTTCTAATTAAATACACCTGATCAAACTAATCGAGTCCTTCAGGCTTGTTTGAAACCTACAGGTAATGCCATGGTCACACTAGACTTTGAGCATGTGAAATTCTGTCGTATAGCACGGTGAAAAGGGGCAGTATTAAACAAAATGGTTAGACATTTTAAAAAGCGAGCGATTGGTCTATATATGACATTTCTGTCCAGAAAGGTCATGTTTTAGTCTTCGATAGTCTCATGCTAATTTCATGATGCAATTTCATGTGTCAGATTTCACCAGGCTTGAACCTTCGAACGTAGCAAAAAGCGAAACTTGTTGCATGAGCTTGCGTTTCTGGTCTATCGCATTCAAGTGCGTATGAATGGAAGTATATGGAATAAAAAGTGCAGTGTGACCCCAGCTTCAATATGTTAAAGCAGGGTTTTAACTAAACTGTACAGAGCTACGGCCCTCCAGGAACTGGAACTGACACCGGTGGTGTAGACCATGGGTCTTGCTGATTCATAAAATGCATCTAAACAGCTGCTGGGACCTAAAAATTAAGCCTAAAAAAAAAAAAAACATAAAATATACAGGCAAAAAACAAAAATGATTACCTTTGGCTTGTAAAAATACATTGAGGCCTTCTGTACTAAAATAATACAAAGGTCTTAAAGTCCCCATGACATCAAAGCTAACCATGTGATTTTGTTAGCTCACGTTGCTAGTTTTGTGTTGAACAATCTGTGCGTGTCAAGAATTGTTTGCTCTTCTATTTTTTAATTGAAAAAGCACTTCCTGTTTTTCTTTTCATGTAATTTGTCAGATTACATACATCTTAGGAATTGGACATGGCTAACATATTTAATCACATCGCTCCAACTGTCAGTTTTAAGAACAAACAGAAATGGCAATAGTCTAGTGGTTAGTGCGTCGAAATATGGTGTTGTTGCACTTCAGGGTGTCCCGAGTTCAAATCCCGGCTCGAGGACATTTCCCGTCCCTAACCCCACTCTCTCTCCCACTGCGCTTTCTGTCTGTAATACTATCCTATCCACTTAATAAAGGCAAAAAGGCCAAAAAAAACTTTACTAGATCCACTCAACTCACAGTAGAAAAAACAAGCCAAGTCCACTGTTCTCTCATTTAAGATTCTGTTTCTCTAGGAACTGCGTCACAATACTTGAAAAGAAAAACGGTTGCAGCTTCCGGTTCATGGGGACTTTAAAGATCTTTGCTCTTCAAGTTCTTGTAACTGTTAATTAGCATTTTATGAATAACCAATGTCCATAGCTTTAGCTGATGTTCTACTGAAAAAAAAAAGTGAGCCTTATCTTGAAAATTCTTCTTAATTTTCGGACATTCTGACCAATACCTACTCTATCAAAGCTCTTCTCCTCTCTCATCCCTAACTCCCGACCATCAATGCAAGTGATGTGAATATTTTCTTCATCCAGAAACTCTTTAGGCACGTAGCTCTGAAGAATCTTGCGCAATCGACCAGTGCGGGAAACTGATAAGTCATTTGCCCACAAGTGATCTAAAAAGAGCCAAAAAAAAACAGACATGCGTTTCATTATTTGTACAGATTTGCATCTCTTCCTCTAGAAAGCTGTAGCAATTTTTTGATTCACGTACTGACTGAATGTGCCTGCAGGAGAGCAAGGGTTTTTCCTCCAGGAGCCGCACACAGATCCAGCACTGTTTGTCCAGGCCGGACGTCCAGCGCTAGTACAGGCAGCACGGAAGCAGCATCCAGAAGATAATAGCCCAAAATACCACTGCTGTCAGGTCTGTGTTAATAGCACAGATTGTTTTAGGATGAAAAAAAAAAAAAGTTGAAGCATTGGCAACACTATAATAACTACACACTATGAATCATCTACTGAGCTTTCGTTAATAGTTAATTCATTGTTTGTTAAGCATTAACTCTACATTAATAGGTGTTAGTAGGCAGTTTATAACTGCAGATACAAACGCTGTAAACTTGACTTATTGAATGAGCACATTTAAAATGTGCTTAATAGTTGTTTTTTCATACTTTGTTACTGATGAACTGTTCAAAACTAAATTCAGCATTGCATTATTTACAAATTATTTGTAACTAAGAATAATCAAGGTCTTTAAAGATCATCCAGAATGAGTTAGTAACTGATTTATAAACTATTCAAATAAACATTTCCATATTATTGTTCAGGTATAGAGCATGATTGCCTCACAGCAAAAGGTCACTGGTTCGAGCCCCGACTGAGTCAGGTGGCATTTCTGTGGGAAGTTTGCATGTTCTCCCCATGTTCACGTGGGTTTCCTCCGGGTGCTCTGGTTTCCCCCACAAGTCCAAAGATATGCGCTATAGGTGAACTAGGTAAGCTAAAATTGTCCGTAGTGTATGTGTGTGAATGGGAATGAATACGAGTAATACCCAGTGATGGGTTGTTGCTAGCATAAAACATATGCTGAATGAGTTGGCGGTTCATTCCGCTGTGGCAAACCCAGATTAATAAAGGGATTTAGCCGAAAAGTAAATCAATGAATGAATAAATGAATGGTTGAATGAATAAGGTATACACTTATAGTTCATTTGTATGTTAATAAGTGCTTTACTTACTCAGCTTCATCTAGCTTTGTGACCTAATCTAAAGTGAGGACTATTTATGCTGTATAAATCCCTAATAACAATTAAAGGCTCAGTATCACATGAAAAATAAACCTTTGCAATCTTATCTGAAAAGTAAAATTTATGTAATGTTTAAACATTGCTGAATAACTTGAGTGTAAAAAAATAGCATAAAATTAGATAAAACAACAACAATAATTGAACAATATATTATGATACAACATTTCAATGTTATTTAACGATGTACAGTAATTTTTATTTTAGTCAAGACTGCAAAGATTTATTTCTCATTTGATACAGTTTTATTTGTGTATCTTCAAATAAATAGAAATTAATAAAGTTGTTTATTTTCCTGTGTAGAATATAACTGAGCCTTTAATTGTCATTTATTAGAGATTTATAAAGCATGAATGGTCCTCACTTAAGATTAGGCGACAAAATTGGATGGAGTTGAGTTAATCTCAACTGATCTGATTTATTAATCATTTACTTATGCATTCTGAATGATCTTTAAAATCAGCAACTTCCCTCAATTAACTGGTTTGTAAATACTGCAACACTTAATTTAGTAATGAAAACATAATAATTATCAAAGTATGAAAATACAACCATTAAGCACATTATGTATGCATTAAAACAATAAAAAGTTCATTTTTGTTCTTTGTACATTACAATATTAAAAAAGAAAAGAAAAAGACCATCATACATTTTGACTATCAAACATCAACATTTACAGGAGACAGACAAAAAACAAAACAAACAAATATAAACATACATATTTATTTTTTTAGAACCAAAATAATATCTCATATCTCACATATCAAAACCGCATATCAGATACCAACAAATTATTTGATCATATTATAAATTTTTAAAAAAATTTACAGAGAGGACCCCTAATAATTTTACTTTTATTTATTTACTTTTATTTTATTTACGCTATCCTTCGGATCACTTGATTTTACTTATTTGTCAGCAAGAAGTTGATTGTATCATATTTTAAAAAATAAAAAACATATTTCATATTTTAGTAGGTACGTTTTTATCTCACACATATTTTTAGATTTAATCATCATGTTATCTAAAACATTTAACCCCTTCAAATGCTTTCTCTCCTATGTATATACAGGCCTGTTGCCAGCTAATTAAAATATGGTGGTTCTTTTTTCTCAAAAAGTGGACCCATTTGCAGTTACTCAAGGTTCAAATACTGCATTTTAGAGATATTTTAAGCAATAGTTTGTGCTGAATTAGCTTGTCAGATTGTTATTACCACACTTTTTGATGCAACAAAATTCTTCCTACATTTTTGTCAAGGAGCTATCATAATATTTTTATTTACAAAAAATTATGGTTATTTACAAATGCGCATTGAAACTGGAAATTGTAGCCTATAGGGGAATAACAAACTGGCCAGCTCATGTCCTCAGTCAAAATTTGTCCGTTTAAATAATAAAAGCCCTCTTTTAATGATTACTTTATTGGTTATTCTTCTTAAAGCCTTCTTCTATTGGTTATTTTTACAAGTCATGATGGCATACAGTCAAAACTTGGACAAATGAGCTCAAATTCTGGACTTTGTCAGAAGGGGGGTGGGTCTTTGGAACCACGCGAACCCCTCTGGCTACGGGTCAAATATAACGTTTTAATTGGTGAAGAAGACACAACAATTATGATTTCTCTTCTTAACTCACTAAACATAAACATTTAAAGAGAAGAAAGGAGAAATTCGTTTTGTAATCCTCACCTTGCTGGCTTAAATCTAGATATGTCTCCTCGGGGGAAAACAAGACATTTAATATCAGGAGTTATACTGGTTTGAAGAGGAGCTGATTCCACATCTGTCGAATCGTTGTGAGGGGTTGTGGGGTCCTGTGAGGACTTATGGACCTCATTTCTAGAACAGTCAATAGTTATGAAGTCTCTACACCCTTCAGCTTCTAAATCTGTGATTTCCCCAGATGCTGAAGAGAAGCTGTTTATTAGCGCTCCATATTTTTGTTCACAAAGCATGGCAACACGAATAGAGGGCCACAAGTCCCCGAACTGTACACTATATGTTTTGTCAAAGCTGTGCAGAGCAAGTTCAGTGGCTGGAAACTTGGGCCTCGTTGCTGCCTATTGGAACACAGGAGACGATATGAACATTTCACGTTATTTTGATTATAATACTAATACATGTGACCTTATTACTTACCCATTTTGTTTTAACTCGATACCGTCGCGGAATAAATCTAACTGAGTCTTTAAATTTGTTTATACAAAATCTCGTGCACACGTACGCTGCCATGTCTGTGTATCATCAAATACCGTCCGTCGTTTTTTCTCATTGGTTCCACTATAAAGATTTGTACTATTTAAACATTACAATGGAGTCAAAATCAAAACATGATCTTATAAATTCATGTAATGAATCATTTAACTAATTACATGACCAAACGTCATTTTTCATGTTAAATTAAGTTTGTTAACGGTTTCACTTGTTAGCTCTTCTTTGTGATTTCTGTTCTATATGCTTTTTTCAATTGTACTAACGTTAAATCATAACCTTATGTATTTGCTGTAGTTTAAAGTGCATTTGTAAAAGTAGGCAAAAGTATTGTATTGTATTGTATAGTGAAAGTATTGCTGATTGAATATGAACATTTAATAGGCGTAACTAATGTGTAGCTACCGTTCAGTTCTGCCTGTCTGGTATTTTGTTACTTTTTTCATTTAGGGTCAAGAACATGCATACAAAGTTTCAATAATTTGCTACATTTTATGTCAATTTGACCCATACAGGCAGACATTAAAAAGATGCAAAATAACATTTAATTTATTATGCATTATTTAATAATAATATCAACTCCATTCATTAAGGCAAGTGTCTATTTCTACTCTTAACCTAACCAAACTGTTGGAAAATCTAAATCACGTATTTAACTATTGCTAATTAAAGAACGTCCAAATACATAAATAATAAATAGATAAATAAATAAATGTCAGACAAGTAGGAGAAATAAGCTCATCTTAGCTGTTTTGGCTAACCAAACATCAAAATGTTCTGACAAAAATTATAACATTTACTTGAGTAATATAATGAGTAATATAATGACGAATGGGTACAACAATCAGTTTATTTTTATGCCCTGAGTACAAAAAAAATCCACCCATTCATTATTAATAGAACAATAGTCTGAAAATGTTTTAAAAATAAAGAAATGTTGTTTTGTATTTAGAGGTTAAATAAAAAAAAATACTACACTAAATAAATACATAAAAAATATATTTATTATACATAAATATTGTAAAAGGTTGAAAACAAACATGGTTCACATCACCCAAACCATAGCCTACTTACAGTGCATTCGGAAAGTATTCATAGCGTTTCACTTTTTCCACATTTGTTTATGTTACAGCCTTAGTCCAAAATGAATTAAATCTATTTATTTACTCAAAATTCTACACACAATACCCCATAATGACAATGTGAAAAAAAGATCTTTTGAAATTGTTACAAATTTATTACAAATAAAAAACCTGAAAAATCACATGTACATCAGTATTCACAGCCTTTGCTCAACACTTTGTTGATGCACCTTTGGCAGCAATTACAGCCTCAAGTCTTTTTGAATATGATGCCACAAGCTTGTCACACCTGTCTTTGGGAATTTTTGGGCTATTCCTCTTTACAGTACCTCTCAAGCTCTAGGTTGGATGGGCTGCGATGCTGTACAGCCATTTTCAGATCTCTCCAGAGTCGGGAGATGTTTAATAGGATTTATGTCTGAGCTCTGGCTGGGCCACTCAAGGACATTCCCCAAGTTGTTATGAAGCCCCTCTATTGATATTTTGGGGGTGTGCTTTGGGTCATTGTCCTACTGGAAGATGAACCGTCACCCCAGTCTGAGGTCAAGAAAGCAGGTTTTCATTCAGGATGTCTCTGTACATGGCTGCATTCATCTTTCCCTCTATCCTGACCAGTACCACCGCTCCCTATATGCAGTATACGCAGGCTGCGTAGGGCCTCAACTTCGGAGGGGGGCATCATCTCGGTTGCTCAAAAAATAAAAAAAACATTTATTTACTAATATTAACATAAACTGAGTGTAAATAAATATGTTGTTTTATACATAAAAAAAATAATTATGACGGACGCAAAAACAAACATGTGAAGTAATTTTTTCCATATGCGCATAGCTGCGTGTGCGTGGCGCGGCCCAATCCACTTATCTTTGCTGCTGCTAGCTGAATATAATTATAATTGATGCAAGATGCAGCTCTATGCCCGGGAAAAGACAACAACAGTCTGGAGCCGAGAAGAGGTAAAAAGTTCAAGGTGAGTCGCGTGCATCACTCTCAGGTAACTTCTATGAATCTAGAAAACATATTTTTGCCTGAAATTAGTAAGTGAATTAGTGAGGCTAACGTTTACCTTTAACACAACAGCACAAAAGCTGCCTTATGTGTTGTTGTTCACGTTCAGTTTTTGGCTTTGCTGCTATGCATTGTGCTTAAACTGTGACAGGACATATTTTATGACTTTTCACGCTTGCCCCTTTACCCCTTTTATGTTGATGATAATAACACAAACTCCAATATTATTATTAACTTGAGCAATTTTTTACAGTTCTGTATGCACACTACACTGTTAACCCTTACTATGCAGTAAATAACTGTAAAATAGCCAATGTTTTGCTGTAATAACAGGAAACAGTACTTTGCTGTAAAACAAGCAGGATTTGAATGAAATTGTGTCGTGCAAAGAATATATTACAGTAATTTACTTTATGTAGCCATCACAGGTAATTGTGATAATAAATGGTAAATTACTGTTCAACCATTACTGTTTCATCTTCTCTGATGCTTTTTGGTGCTATATATAGAATATTGCACTTACCTTAATGCAGGAAACAACGATTTAGACATTGACAAATACACAGTACGTCTGTCTTATTCTAAACTCAAAGTTGTGAAAAAAGTTTCACAAGCCAGGTGTTTGATTTGTTTACTTCTGAGTGTCCTCCATTCTCTGTTTAGCAGTTCAGAATCAGATGCAGAGTCTGGTGTTTAAGCCATAAATAAGAATCTACAAAGAGTAAGTAAAATGTGTTCAATTGTTTTTGAGAGTTTCTAAAGTAAGTCTGTGCATTAAGTTATATTGTTGTTATCTTGAACTGTGTATTTGAAGGTTACATTGTTAGCTAGTTAGCCTCTCCTCACATAACTTCGTACATAACTTTCATTTAAGTTTATTTATTCATTGGATATCGCTGTTTCCATAATGTAGTCTTTTTGGCAAATAAGCTGATTGTATACACATAAAAAGTATTCAATTCCAATCTCCCTCATAGCTTACGTGCACAGGAATCATCACAGGGATTCGCAAACCTCCACTGTCAGGTTCCAGGTTGTGAATTTGTTGCTAAGTGTTTTTCAGAGCTGTTTCCAATGGTGAATTCCAAAGAACGATACAAATGTTTCAAGAGTTCCCACTTAGATATGCTTGGCATTTATAGCAGGTTTGGCATGCTGTCCTGGGAGAGAACCCTGAGCTCTGAGATATTTGAGCCCAGGGCTCCCGCCTAGTCTAGAAGCATATCAGGGGATCCGAGATCAGGTAGGTCTCGATCGCTCCCTCTTTAAGCCTGGTTTATACTTTTGCGTCAAGTGACCGGCGTGACCCACAGCGCATGCAACGCGCGTAGCTGTGCATTTATTCTTCTGTGCGCTGTCTTTGTTGGTCTGAATTAACACTTCCGAAACGCTAGTTGGCAGTGAGGTGTAAATGTTTCTCTTTGTCTAGTTTCTTCTCAGCTGTTTTGCTTTTCCTGAACACTTCCTGGATGTACAAAAGGCTCAAACTCGCTCATTTTGAGGCAGGAACCGGCGGACGTGCAACAACTTTAACTATGAGGTAAACACAAAACAAAACTTTCCATCCGGAGCTCCTTCACGGGACTCCACACTTGTAAACAATCGCTCCATTGGGCTCACTTCCAGCTCACGCCATTCGTGCGGCTCTCGGTCCCGCCCAGACTCGTCAGCGCTACCAAGCCGACCAATCACAGAGCTTGCGCGACGCGTCGTTGCGACGTGTAGTTACAATTTTTGAGAGGTGCACATCAGCGACGCCGACGGCCACGGCGAAGGGCTATGCGTCAGCGCCGTAGCATACGCTGGCATTTGACGCAGAAGTATAAATCAGCCTTTAGAAGGGGAGAAAAAGGAGGAGATGGGGTGGAAGGGGGGATTCTTTCAAAAAGAAGATAATAAGAGATAAGGAGAAAGTGATCCATTTATATTAAGCTAGGATCACTCTGATTGGATTATTACTGATTACGGATGAGTGGCCAGCAGTGCACAATCATATCACGTGCTCCTCTCGAAATTAGTTTGTGAAACTTCACTTGTTTTCTTGAGCTTCATGTTTCTAACCATATCTAGAGTAAGTATGTGTGTGTGTTCTTTTGAGAAGCTACTTTATTAGAATTTTTAAAACTTAAACTTAAATAAATGTATTTTTTTCTTTAGCATCTTTTTATGTTTTTAACCTTATATTACTTTAACCTTGTAAATCAGGAGCCAAGTAATGCCACGTTAGAGCTCATTCAAAAGTAAGTATTATACTCTATATGATTGACACACATTTAAAGGCGAAATTAAAAAATCTCTCTCTTAATTTTTGCAGAGGCTCAATGAAGTTGACTGGAAAACATCAAATGAAGTGAGTAAAAGTGATATTTCTAGAATAAATTATTTCTTAAATAAATTCATAAATCAGGTTATTTATTTAGTTTTTTTATTATTATTACTACAGGTTTGGAACAACATGAGGATCAGTGCTGAACGATTTTATTTATTTATTTTTTTGCTTTAAATGGAGTTTGTTAATTAATTAATTTATATTGTTTTTAATTGGATATGTGATTGTGATAAATGGTGGCATTTACTTAAATGTTGTCAATGTTGTTCCTGGAGGGCTCCCACCCTGCTTCAACATTACCTGTAGATATCTAATAAGCCTCAATTAGTTTGATCAGGTGTGTTTAATTAGTTAACGCTAAACTGTGCAGACCTGTGGCCCTCTGTTATATGTCAGATGATATTTAAATGTTTGACACCTTTCATTAAACCTTTTTGTTTCATTGTAAATAGAAAATGTATTGATATCTGTTGATTTCTTTAATTTTGTTGTACATTTTCTGTTGTATATTTGTTTGCTGACAAAACAATAAAATACATTTGTCTGAAGAATTGATAAGCTTTCTAATTTAATAACACTTAAGAATACTGATTAATTTTAGCAACACTACAATAACTCTAAATGACATACCATTATTGTGTATGCAGTATAATGCTGTGAGTTGTAACACTACAGTACAGTAAGTAACTGTTAGCAGTTTCCACTACTGCTCTATTACAGTAATTATCTGACAAGACTGTTGCCAGCTACTCACTGTAATGGTTCAGTTGCAGTAATTAACTGGCAACACTGTTTACAGTTAGTCACTGTAACCAAACCATTACAGTGAGTAGCTGGCAACAGTGTTGCCAGTATTCTACTGTAAACAAAAACGTGGTAAGGGCTAACAGTGCAGCTACATACACATGCACTGCACGATTATTTCACTGTATTTATTATTATAGTTATTATGTTATATAACTATGTATTATATAAGTGTCCGCAGTTATCATTGTTTATTGTTCTGTCTATTTCTATACATTTATTATTGCTGCTGTTGTTATTGCTTGTATCACAGCAATGACAGTAAAATCTCCCTAGTCTTTATATCAGTGGATTGGTGTGTTTTTAATAGCCCAGTTTTTCATTTTTGTACATTACTATATGAAATAACAAAACTGACTAATATTCTGTGATTTCTGAAAGATCAATAATATACAGTGGGTCAAATTACTGTAAGCCGCAGGCCATAAATCATTTTTATTGCATGAATTCATTAATGATAATTTTCTTTCTGAATGCTAACAAAGTTTGTTGTTCAAAAATACACTCATCAGTTCTTAAACCACAAAAGTCCTTGATTTATACTGAAAGCAAGGATCAGTGTTTGTCACCATAGATTACAGTGCAAGTTAAATCTACATTTTGGTTGTAGTTTAGACACATTATGAAGAGTGCTTGACTAGCCCATTGTTTTAATAGTTTGTCGTGAGTTTTTCTTTAAATGTTAATTTCTTCTGTATTGTATGTGCTGGTTTAATGCTGAAATTTGTCACAAAAGAAGATGAGGTGGTATGACCAGCTCCAGAGACACCAGCAGCTGCAGTTACAGAATGCATGATGCAGCCCTGAGGACAGTCCATCTCTACAGGGACAGAGAGGGCTTTATTCCTTACCTTTTGTAAATGTTTGAAAATGGGAATGCTTCTGCAGAAGACATTTCAGTGTTATTTTAATGTAAACTATTATTTTCTAATGTAAATATTTAAATGTTTAAGTATAATTTTGAGTGTTTATATGCATATAAATACATGTTTAAACGTATATGTTTGTGTGATTTTGTTCCTTTGGGGGGGCACCACAGTAACATTTCACACAGGGCACCCTTTTGGCCAGCAGCGGCCTTGATCCTGACTAATCTCTGTTCCTGCTGCTGTAAAACGCCCACAGCATGATGCTGCCACCACCATGCTTCACTGTAGGGATGGTATTAGCTTGGTGATGAGCAGTGCCTGGTTTTCTCCTAACGTAACGACTGGCATTCACTCCAAACTCCAAAGTGTTTATTTTAGTCACATCAGATTAAAGAATCTTTTTTCTTATGGTCTGAGAGTCCTTCAGATGCCTTTTTGCAAATTCCAGATGTGGAGTGGCTTCTGTCTGGACAGTCTACTATACAGGCCTGATTGGTGGATTGCTGCACAGATGATTGTCCTTCTGCAAGGTTCTGCTCTCTCCACAGAACAACACTGGAGCTCAGACAGAGTGAGCATCGGGTTATTGATCACCTCCCTGACTAAGGCCTTTCTCCCTGATCACTCAGCTTAGATGGCCGGTCAGCTTCACGGCAAAGGCTGTGAATACTTATGTACATGTGATTTTTCAGGTTTTTTATTTTTAATAAATTTACAACAAATTCAAGACATCTTTTTTTGCACTATTGTGTGAAGAATTTTAAGAAAATAAATGAATGTAATCCATTTTGGAAAAAGGCTGTAACAAAAAATGTGGAAAAAGTGAATAATTTTCTGGTTGTACTGTAGATATTTGGTCAATATTATCTGCTGTTTGGTACTGCGCCAAACAAAGTCCTTTTAATAAAAAACTTGGTATTTTGGACTACCATTTTAAGTTTTTATTGTTCCCAATTGCTTTCACTTATACATTTACGCCATTCTTTTAGTAGCAGTAATTGCCCATTGAATATTTGAAGATTTCTAAGTGGTGTCTGAAATGTTATTCTAACATGTTTCTCAGCCTCCTTTGTTTATGTTCAATCATTTTGAACTTTAAAGGGAATGAAAATAACCTATTATTTTCCATAAACGTGAAAACACTAAACCAACACAGAGGGACCTGAGCACTCTTTATTTATTTAGTACAATTCTCGTTTGCAATTGCACCCATATTGGTCCATCCTTGTTGTCAAACCCTGCTTTTTAAGAAAACAACAATTTAAAAATCACTTTCAACCAGCCAAAGCGGCTAGTGGTGGTGTATGTCTAACCCACCACAGCTGAAACCTACCCGCATTTTGCCCATTATATATATATATATATATATATATATATACATATATATATATATATATATATATATATATATATATATATATATATATATATATATATATAGTTGAAGTCAGAGATATTAGCCCCATGAGTTATTAGCTGAATTATTTTTTTTTTTTTCCCCGTTTTCTGTTTATCGGAGAGTAGATTTTTTTGCAACACATTTCCAAACATTCATTAATTTAATTGTCAGCTTAGTCCCTTTATAAATCCGGGGTCGCCACAGCGGAATGAACCGCCAACTTATCCAGCACATTTTTACACAGCGGATGCCCTTCCAGCCGCAACCCATCTCTGGAAAACATCCACACACACATTTACACACACTCATACACTACGAACATTTTAGCCTACCCAATTCACCTATACGGCAAGTCTTTGGACTGTGGGGGAAACCGGAGCACCCGGAGGAAACCCATGCGAACGCAGGGAGAACATGCAAACTCCACACACAAAACGCCAATCGAGCTGAGGATCGAATAAGCAAACTTCTTGCTGTGAGGCGACAGCATCACCTACTGCACCACCAATTTCTAAATATAATAGTTTTAATAACTCACTTCTAATAACTGATTTGTTTTATCTTTGCCAGGATGAGGTGGCTAATAATTCTGACTTCAACTGTATGCACACACACACACACACATATATATATATATATGTATATATATATATATATATATATATATATATGTGTGTGTGTGTATAAATGTGTTCAAAAAATCTCTCCATTACACAGAAATTGGGGAAAAATTTAACAGGGCTAATAATTCTGACCTATTTATAGACACACACACACACACATTTATAGAGAGAGACAGAGATCAGATGCAAAAACCTCCAAAAGCCATTTGAAATTTTCCTTGAAGATGAGCATTTGTACCAGGTTCCTGTGTGCAGGGTCAGTAATTTCAAGATTATGGCAGACTACTTAGGTCTTTAAAATAAAATTCTGAGGAAAATGCAAATTTTCAATGGAAATTTCAAACGGATCTCTGAACTCTTCATACATACATACATACACACACACACACACACACATGCATACATATATATATATATATATATATATATATACATACATACATACATATACAAACATATATACACACTATTGCTTAGAAATGAGTTTAAAAATATATACATACACACACACATAGATGCATATACATACAAGCATATACTTATATATTTGTACACACACACACACACGGTCAAACAACTGAAGAAAACCAATTTTCTGATTGGAATAAGTTTATTTGATCTGTCTGTAAACAAGGGGGTTTAACCATGACATTATTTCTCATTCCACGCAAATGGAGCTGAATATCAGTTGGGCAAATTTAAAAACTGAGAAAACCAGACATGAATTAATGTTTCTTTAATCTGTACATTTTCCAAAAGCCCTGGAGTATGACTTTATAACCTCAGAGAAGCCACTGAAGGTTTGACTCCTTACACGGCAGCGATTAAAACCCATCTCACAGTAGCAACAGATCAGATCTACATTATGGCACAGGATACACAGCTTTATTTAACAAGTTTCCACAATACAACTGACTTAGACTAGTGGTCTTTTCCAACTAATACCACCAAATCCCAAAAAGTTAGTGTACACGATTTAATTTTTTTGTCTATTTAATGAAGCATTTGTACCGTGCTAGGACAGTTTGATACATCGCAATTTAGTTTACAAGGCAATGACTTCCAAATTATTTCTTTTTTGAAAATAACAGATTAAAAGTAAAAAGGGTTTAAGAAATTTGTGATGATATTAACAATAAGACTGCCATTTCATCGATTCAAGACATTCATGAATAATGTTCAGGTAGTTATTATATACTTTTTTTTTAAAGTCAGTGAACTTAGCAATAGTGTTTAATAGAAATGAGCTTAGGATTACATTGTGTATTTGTATAGGTGTTGAAAATTGTTTTATAAAGTCAAAAACAGATGAAACTAGCAGTCATCCTCCTTTACAACAACAGTTTGGAGCAATTCTGTTAATCCCTTTGGATGCAAAAAACAAAAAAAAAAAAAAACATTGGTCCTATTGGAGAACCCAAAGTGAAATGGACTGAACATTGGGATGGCAACACTTCTTGAGAGAAACAAACAAACAAAAGAAACTGGCAAACAACAATTATTAAGTGCCTGAGCTGTTGTTAGCGATGGAATGTCCATAAAGAGTCCGGGATGCGAAGGCTCTTGGGAAACAACTCAACCCAAACCTTGTAAATGCTGATCTGCCACCATACTCAAAATATTCCAACATTAGACCAATGACTTACAAGACCACATCCAAATACAACAGCAAAAGCATTTTATGGAAGGTGTTCAAATTTAAAAGGTAGTGTGTAAGTAGCTGGGGCAAGGGCAAAGCAGTTCACAGGGTTAGGGGCTGAAGGTGCTTATCAAATTAGCTCAGGGTCAAACCAAGAACAGAGTAAAAACAATAAGAAAGTGTTATTTGATTGGCTAACTTCATTTTCAAAGCTGAGACAAGGTGGTAATGTTACTGGAAATGATGATATTGACCTAAAAGATATGCATGCACTTTTTCCATCCTGGACATGCTGTATACAAGGAAGACCATAAGAGCTCAGCAAGGACTCAAAGCACTTGAGAGGCATCAATCTATCTTAAGCTGGATCATTAGCAGTGCCTAAGGAAAAAAAATTGGACAATATAGTCACTTCATGGACTTGTGAACCTACACAAATTCTGGGTCGTCCAAGTTTTTTTTAATTCTTCATTTTACACCTATTGTATGTACATTAGTGTTTGTCATGAACCTTCATAAAACCAACATGCTTGATTTACTGTGGCACAAAAAACATGTCAAAACTCAGAAAATTAGAGAACAATGAGCATACAACAACAACAACAAAAAAAAAAAAAGCCTTCAAGAAATTAACAGACTCTGATAGAGACAACAATAAATCTACTAACTGTTTCTGGTAGTGTTGTCATGTTGACTAAAGGGGGCAAGGAAGAGGCTAGGGGAAGATGACTGGGTTTGTAGTGTGTTGTAGTGTTTTAAAGTGAGCTGCTGTGTGGATGAGAAGGGGATGCTTTAGTATCCAACTTTCCTCAGGTAATCAGCCATGCTATATGCTTGCTTGTTGAGCGATCCTCCATGGGTACCTTCCTTTCCCATCACTAAAACCAACACTGGAGTACATAAGGAAAGAAAAAAAAACGACAAATGAACAAAACTGAAAAAAAAAAAAAAAGTCTTTCCCCCCCGATGACACGGGGACATAAGAAATTATCATCATTCTTCCATTGATTGCTATTAATTTTTTTCAAGACATTAACTGCTTGAAGGAGAAAGCTTAACAGCAAACTTCTTTCTTCTTTCTGTCCCTCAAGTGAAACTAAACAAGCTTAATTACATTAGAACCCCGAATCCCTCAAGTATTTTGCCATTGAGTATGCCTTCTTATTCAGTCCGCCTCCATGGACCCCTTCTTTGCCCATTACAAGAACCAAGACTGAAAGAGAAATAGAAAAGGGGAAAGTTGAGAAGTGTGGTGGTTAGGAAAAAAAGGGAACAATCATGAAACAGAGGAGAAAGAGCTTTTCAATTGCAATTATTAGTGTGCATGCACATGCAAAGATTTTACTATTAAAAGCAACCAAGCAGAGAAAGGTGATTTAAGAGTATTTGACACAGAGAAGTGAAACTTGTTGCTTGAGCTGTATAGTGATATTTTAGCGTACAGAAAAGGGAAAAATAGGAAGGAGAATTCAATGCTGCCACACCCCCCCCCTCCTCTAAAAACCCTTCTATCCTCTTATTTTTCCCTGGCGCTTTGACAGTATATCAATTTATGACTTTTTGGGAATTCATATTTGTAAATTTATTTCAGTGCATAAAACTAGAAATCCAATTTTGGTAATTAATTATTAAAACTTATTACAGCTGTTTATGCAAATAATCAGTGTCTAATATTTGATTCAGCTTGCACTCTGACTATTGATAAAAAAAATTAACTATGTATAAAAAAAAAGCAGAGATAATAGTGTGTGGTGGGCTGTTTACCACATAACCAAGTGACTTGTAGCCCAGAAATGATCTCATTAAACAGTGAAAAGGGTAAATGGGAGAAATAGAAAAAGTCACACACAGTGCTAAAGAAAACTGTTAGATCAAGAAAAGTTTGAACATGCACAACAGTGAGATTCGGCTATGTGTTTTTAAAGAGGGGGCAGAGGATTCTACTGTATAGCTTAATTTTTTTCTTTTTTTTAACATTCCTCAAGAGGACCACAAAGGCAGACTGTATGAGCTGGCAAATTTTGAAGTGAAGTACATATATACATAGATATATATATATATATATATATACATATATATATTCTATTTGGGATATTTAACAATTAAAAATACTAGATATAGCATCTTTGCCCTGGGCTCCCAATAGCAAAACTGCTTTTAAGGGGTGATCCTAACATTTTTTTATGAGCCAATTAAACATATTACATGCAAAGTTTACCTTTGCCAGCTCTGCCTATGGAAACATTGTATGTCGGCTCTCCATTATGGCTCTTTGTCCTGATGTCCATTGTCCAGTCTCCCTCCACCTGAAGGCTGTCTCTGATCACAGAGCACTTCTTCTTGCCTAGAGTCAGTCCACTGGTGAAAAAGCCCTCTCTGTCTTTACCAACAATGACATCAATTTCATCAGGCTGAAAAAAAGAAAAGACTTGTGAATTTTTTTTTACCATCAAGCAGGTTGAAACTGTACAACATAATATGCTGTAAATACAATACAGACCATCCTCAGAGAATAACTAACTGCATTATTTGAACTGCAGCATGGCATGGGAGATGCTAATCTCACTCAGTCTTATGAACATCCCTAAATAAATGTTTAATTAAGGTCGAACCACATTTATAAAACCATGATACTTATTATGAGAGAAAAGCTCGACATGACATGCGAGTATTCATAGGCAACAGGGCGCCATCTTTGTGTTCCTCTAGGAAAATAACTTCCAAGTACAGGCGCTACTGTCTAAACTTGCTCCTTTTCATGGCCTAAGGCTACAGTTTTTTCAATGATCAGACAACGTGAAATCTTTGAAAACCCGAACTGCTAACAACATTGTCATGCACTTGATAATAGAATACAATGTATACAACTGAGACACTGAGCAATTGAATATTGCCGAATAACGCTAAATGAAATAGGTTTAATCAAGCCGATTAATTTAAAAATGTAAAAGATAACTTGCTGGATGCGTTCGGCTGTACAATGTTTGTACTTTGTCTGCGTTCTTTTGATATGCTTAACGCGCTTCATTGTGACATGGGAAATTAATTCTAGAGGCCGTGGCCACAGCCCTGTGCTTTCCATCTGGGCCTTAATCCATTCAGCAGAAACACTTCACTTTACCTGAAATCCTACATTTCAACGAGAAAAATAAACGAGATTGGATTTCACCTTTGCATTTTCGCCAATAAAAACTCCTCAACAAAGCTTATTTTTATTGTAATATGAAGCTAAAAAGGCTAGCTCGGACTAGACACGAGACCGGCTCCCCGTGCACGCGTGCTAAAGCTGACTAGCTTGCTAGCCATCCTCTCACCCTAGCACGCAAATGCACCACGAATTGAATAAAAGACAAATGTCAATGGTGCAGTTACTATTAATCTACTAAAATCTTACCGTTATACCGCTAAACGTACCACCCTCTGACGATGCCCAGACATATTTGGCGTCAGTGTATCCAACAATGGCGGCATCCTGGCAGCTGCCATCAGCCATCAGGTTATCCACGTAGCTTTGCCAAGACATTTTTTTTATTTGAAATGATAGGACGTATTACACCGACTGGAGTGGATTTAGCGCTACAAGTGCTAAAGGTCTAGCAAAGGTCGTGTGGACGAAGGATTTTGGCGTCTCCTCCGGTGTCCGGCTCGTTTGCTTGTATGAAATCTCAGCTCGGGCAGGAAAGAAAGCCGACGAACTGAGAGACAGCGCCTGGGTGTAGTCCCGTGCTATATCCCTCCGCACAGACAGACTTACCACCACCACTGCGGCGCTGTACGCATAGCCATCCTCTCTGATATCATCAGCGCGATTTCACTCTCAGGATGCGACTATACTTTCAAAACATATATTTTTTTACAGAAAATATGGACAGATGTTTCTGCTTTAATCTTTATAACTCAAAAATGAATATATATATATATATATATATATATATATATATACAACAGTTCTGTTTGGTTCTCGAATCTGATTGGCTGATAGCAGTGATATATTTAAGTAATATCAGCACCCGTACAGCCTCTTTACTCTTTGTGTATTACTCCGCCCACATACATCCAGCAAAAAGCAGACTCTACAGATCTAATGCTTGCTCAGCTGTTTAACTGTCAGCTTATGATTTGAATCCAACGCGGAAGAAAGTAGTTCCTCATACAGAAGTGTTTTTGATACTTTCCGTATTTGATTTTGTTTTTATATACACAATTATGCCTTCATACTGTCGTATAAACGCAATATCACACTCGTAGCAGTGCGATATGGCTGTATATCGGCACTGGTGGAAGCACTAACGCATGCCTCCCACCAGTGCCGATATACAGCCATATCGCACTGCTATGAGTGTGATATTGCTCATTTATACAACTGTTCTGTCTGGTTCTCAAATCTGATTGGCTGATAGCCGTGCTGCAATATCAGAACTCCTACAGCCTCTTTACCCTTTGTGTATTACTCCACCCACATACAGCCAGCAAAAAGCAGACACTACAGATCTAAAGTTTAAAAGATGCACGCTCAACTGTTTACCTGTCAGCTTATGATTTGAATCCAATGTGGAAGAAAGTAGTTCCACATACAAAAGGGTTTTTGAGACTCTCCATGTTTGATTTTGTTTTTATATACACAATTATGCCGTCAAAGTGTTGTATAAACGCAATATTACACTCGTAGCAGTGCGATATGGCTGTATATCGGCACTCCCACCAGTGCCGATATACAGCCATATCGAATTCGTGCATATACGAGCTACGAATGTGATATTGCTCATATATACGGTTGAAGTCAGAATTATTAGCCCCCTTTTGATTTTTTTTTTTCTCTTTTAAATATTTCCCAAATGATTTTTAACAGAGCAAAGACATTTTTACAGTATGTCTGATAATAGCCTATTTTTTCTTCTGGAGAAAGTCTTATTTGTTTTATTTCGGCTAGAATAAAAGCAGTTTTTTAATTTTTTAAAACCCATTTTTAGGACAAAATTATTAGCCACTTTAAGCTATTTTTTTTTCAATAATCTTCAGAACAAACTATCATTATACAATAACTTGCCTAATTACTCTAACCTGCCTAGTTCACCTTATTAACCTCGTGAAGCCTTTAAATGTCACTTTAAGCTGTATAGAAAGTGTCTTGAAAAATATCTAGTAAAATATTATTTACTGTCATCATGACAAAGAGAAAATAAATCAGTTATTAGAAATAAGTTTTTAAAACTATTATGCCTAGAAATATTCTGAAACAATCTTTCCTCCGTTAAACAGAAATTGGGGAAAAAATAAACAGGGGCGCTAATAATTCAGGGGGGCTAATAATTCTGTCTTCAACTATATATAAATATATATATATTATATATATATTATATATATATATTATATTATTATATACATAAAAGTGCCCATAGTCTACGTATTACGCATGTACGTGTTTTATGTACTGTATGCGTTGATAAGCGAAGTTTGATTTAAATCCTAAACAGCGCTTCAGTTTTTTGACTCATTATTTCATTTTTTGTTTTGTGTTTAATAATTTATTAATTTTCACTTTTAAATCAGAACAGTTGGAGGTGTGCTTGTGCATGAAATGAGACAATCAGAATAAAAACAATTGACTTTGACATTTAAAACACTCCCGTCTCTATATAGCATTTCGTTAATAATAATATAATTTGTAAAATAATAATTTGGTTATAAAAAAATATAGAAGTAAAATTCAGATGCAACAAACAGGAACGATTATATTTAAATCAATTAAATCTTGATTGTTTCCTGAATTAAAATGAAGGCATTAAAAGATGCAAACAGGAAAATGGAAACGACTGTGTACTGAAACATTTCTTTACTTGAAAAAATATTTTAATGCATTTTAAATGTGGGTCAAGATAGGTCAAACTGTGGCCCACAGATCAATTTTGAACATCTGGGCCAAATACTACATCTGACATCTGACCCATGTCTTGTCTTGTCTTATGCCAAATTTGGGCCAGATTTGTTACCTGTGGATGATAGGTATGCTCATTCTGAACGCTTTGGCACACAACCCACTGCTGTCACTCATATCGTTTACTAAACATTCACCGTTATTTTTATTTGTGTTTTTTTATTTTTATTTTTTTTTTGCTCAAACTCACTAATATCAGTGCTGAAGTTTTCTCTTTAAATGAATGCAGATGAATGCATTTATGCTCACAGAGTGTCTATAAGCAATTACATGGGATATTAAAATGCAACACTAATTTTAGCCACTAGATGGAAGCATAAGACCGCATTTTGTTAGTATACAGTCATTGAAATTGTAGTTACAGTTTTCCCAATTGTTTACACACAATTACTTGTTCTTCAGACAGAATGTCTATAACATGCAACCCCTAGACCAATTCTGCTTAACTACAAGCACAATCCCTGCTTTATACTCAAATTTCAGGTTTAAAACACACTTTTTTTTTCAAAGCACTACACACAATTCTCTGCATTTGGCTCAATTTTCAAGCAGGAAATCTCTTGTTTTCACTAAGAACACACTGTCATTCAAAACTGTAAAGTCAGTTGCCCTACTTTGCATACTAACTCATCACATGAGCAAACACCTGTCACACATAATTGCAATTTAGAAATCAGAGCTCATCTGGTTCTCTAACTGCTTCTCTGTCCACCCAGGTTTTATAGTTGTTCTCCCTCCATATTCTTCAGTCCTAATGAGGTTTTTTTTTTCTGACTGGGGATGGAAAGTGTATGACCCGAAATCCACACACACACGTATACCCCTTCTCCAAACTATAGCAGTTGATGCTTTTCCTGGCAGGATTTGCCATGCAAGGAGACATTTCCCCCACTGCTTAGCCAGACCAAAACAGAAAAGAGGATGCAGTATAGCTGTTTTTGTTTTTTTTACTGGAACTGTATTCAGTAAATACTTCTGTTGATGGTATATGTAGACGACTTTTTGTGCAACTTTGTGTTTGTTGGCATGAAGATTTTTGTAAACTGTTTTTGTGGGAAAAATAGTGTAAAATATATTTGGTATTTGTGTGTTTTGTATAAAACAATATTCTGAAATATTTTACAATGCACATATGTACCCCTATCTACTGTCTGTAGTAAGTGTAACACTGGACAAAAAAGGCTGACAGTACGTCATTATGAAAGGAGAAGAAGTAGTCATAGTGTTTTACATTAAGCAGATCAGTGATCAACTGGTTCTTATTCATGTGATGGCTTGTTCATGTCATTTAAAAAACAAAATACCATTTTTGAGAAAAAATCACATTGTTTTGAACATAGAGTTTCATTTTGCAGAAGAATTGAAGAGTTTTGCCCAATGTGTGTGTGTGTTCTGTGATTTGTGTGTAGAGTTCTGACAATATGACTCATGCTTTCAGAAAGTGTGTGTGAACAATTGGGAAAAACTGTAATAGAGCAAGTGCATTTTTCACAGTATGTCTGATATAATTTGTTCTTCTGGAGAAAGTCTTATTTGATTTATTTCAGCTAGAACAAAAGCAGTTTGTATTTTTTGTAATTTAAAAGCCATTATAAGATACAAATGATCTGCCCCCTTAAGCTATATATTTTTTTCGATAGTCTACAGAAGAAACCATCATTACACAATGACTTGCCTAATTACCCTAACCTGCCTAGTTAACCTAATTAACCTAGTTACGCATTTATATGTCACTTTTAGCTGTATAGAAGTGTCTTGAAAAATATCTAGTCAAATATTATTTACTGTGGCAGTGGCGCAGTAGGTAGTGCTGTCGCCTCACAGCAAGAAGGTCGCTGGTTCGAACCATGGCTCAGTAGGCGTTTCTGTGTGGAGTTTGCATGTTCACCCTGTGTTTGTGTGGGTTTCCTCCGGGTGCTCCGGTTTCCCCCACAGTCCAAAGACATGGGGTACAGGTGAATTGGGTAGGCTAAAGTGTCTGTAGTGTATGAGTGTGTTGTGTGTGTGTGTGTGAATGTGTGTGTGAATGTTTCGGCTGGAAGGACATCCACTGTGTAAAAACTTGCTGGATAAGTTGGTGGTTCATTCCGCTGTGGCGACCCCGGATTAATAAAGGGACTAAGCCGACAAAAAAATGAATGAATGAATTATTTACTGTCATCATGACAAAAATAAAATAAATCAGTTTTTAGAGATGAGTTATTAAAATTATTATGTTTAGAAATATATATATGTGTGTGTGTGTGTGTGTGTGTGTGTGTGTGTGTGTGTGTGTGTGTGCGCGCGTGCGTGCGTGCGTGTGTGGTTTGAATATTCCTGAAAAACTTGCCATTATTATATAACAATAAAATACATCTAAACATCTGAGGTCCTGACTTTTGTGGTCATCAAAAATCCCATGACACTTCTTGTAAAGAGTAGGGATATAACACCAGAGTCCTGGCCAAATTCCCTCCATCGGCCCTTAACCATCATGGCCTCACAATCATGCCCATCCACTCTATCACTGTTTCTCCACTCCACCTATAGCTGGACCCCCCTCATGATTGCGCTTTGGGTGTATGGCCCTATACTCTAAATGCGCTATATAAACACACATTACATTACATCTGATTGACAGTTCAACAAAAAAAAAATTATCATTATTCTTCATGTGTTCGATACTTCTTCCCTGCTTCAATTCATTTTATTATGCATTACTTAATTTGTGAACTAATTCATTTGCTGTCTTTGCATATGTGGATTTCTTTGGT